CACACACACACACACACACACACACACACACACACACACACACACACACACACACACACACACACACACACACACACACACACACACACACACACACACACACACACACACACACACACACACACACACACACACACACACACACACACACACACACACACACACACACACACACGAGAGTCTTCGTAGGAAACTTTTATTTCCTACGATATAATTAACTACGAGGGCTTACGCTCATTGGAGATTTAGAAACCCAGAACTTATTTTTAAAATCAACTTTTTCAAAAACTCAATTAATTCTCTTTGGGAAAATCAAATATAACGATCGTTATCGTCATTTTTGAATGATCGATAATAATTGATACCTTCTTTCTTCGGATAGATATATCAATTATTATTGTAGTTTTGATTATGAGATTAATGATCTTATATCCGAATTATCATAGTCAGACAATCGATTAAACTTCATTATGATCTTTCGAGATCATATGTTGTTTCCCCTTGAGTCTGACTATAATAATTTAGATAAATTTAAAATTCTGAAATTTGAACCCATTAGGGAACGATATGATCGTCTTTCGAGGCGATATATTGTTCATAATGACGCGTTCAATTTTAAAATTCAAAATTTAATATTCCCAAAGATAATTAAATATTTTTCAAAACTATATATACTCTAAATATATATTTTTTTAATCAAAACAAGTTCAAGAGAAAAAATAGTGTTTGTCAATCATCAAAACATAAGTCATGAAAATAGATTTGCAACATCTCTCTCTCTCTCTCTCTCTCTCTCTCTCTCTCTCTCTCTCGCCGGTCTCTCTCTCTCTCTCTCTCTCTCTCTCTCTCTCTCTCTCTCCAGCTTGCAACTAGGGTGAGATCGGGTGAATCAAGATATAAAGGCATTAGGTTGGGAGGAGTTGTGGCTTTGAGTTTAGCCTGATGCTAGAGGCAGAAGGAGTTTGGCTTCAGTGGTGAGGTAGAGAGGTTAGATGTCTTAAGGTCGTGTGAGGTCAGAGGTCCTGGATGGCTCAGATGGAGGACTTTAGAAGGCCGGATAGGGCAGAGGTCGTAGAGGCTTTGGTTTGGAGATGGGAGAGGAGCTTTGTGTGTGGGGAGTGTTGTGGGAGATGCAGAGAAGAAGCCGAACCAAACCCCTCTCCTCACCTTCATTTTATTGACACCTGTGGACGCGCGATCAAGGCGAGCCCGCAGGATATCCGAGATTCTTCAACAGAACAAGGTAAGCGATGTTTCAGTCGGATTCGTGGAATTTGGCAGAGGATTCGATGGGAGACGTTGTATAGTAAGTAAGAGCTTGAAACTTTCTCTTTTTATTTCTTTTTTGGATAATATACAAAGGTCAACATCAGTCCAACATGAGAGGTTTTAATGGCATTTTTGTGGGTGAGTTTCACACCTCACACCTTCTGTACATTGATGATCATATTGTTTTTGGCAAAGCAAATGAATCAAACTGCAATAGTCTTAGTGATATCTTGGAAAAATTCACTAGCAGCTCCAGGCTACATCTTAACAGTCATAAGAGCATGGTAACTTTCTCTTAGCACATGCCTAATATTTTAGGCCTTGTGCAAATACTGAAGTTCACCAATGTTATAATAATTTTAACTATCTTGGCATTCCAATATCAGCTAAGAAATGCAAAATCTCTGATTTTAGCCCACTATTGGAAAAGATAAACAATCTCCTCACAGGCTGGAAAGCCAATACACTATCTTTAGCTGGAAGAATGTAGTATATTAAATATACTATCTCTAATATGGTTTCCTACTGGGTTAGAGCCACTTTTATTCCTAAAACTATCATCAAAAGCATTGGTAAATCATGTGCGAGATTTCTATATTTTGGTAATACTAATGAGAATCGCCTACACCTAATCTCTTGGGTGAATACTTGTAAACCTTACAGTAAAGGGGGGCTTGGTATTCCATCAATTTTTGCTATGAGGTTTGCTTATAATTTCAATATCATTATTAGAATGTATAATAATAAAAATCCTCTTTCGGATTTCCTGCTGGCACGTTATATCTCTCCTTGGAAAAACAATGCTTCTCACCCGACTAAATTTTGAAAAGGTGTATGTGAAACTGTAGCTCGGGTTAGAGATAAGTTCATTTTCACTCCTCAAAGCTTTAGCAAGGCATCAATTATTTGGATCATTAGTGTTTGGGTGAAAAGTTGATAAATATATTTCCTGATCTTCCTTTACTTAATATCTGTAAGGATAAGGACACTATTGATATTTGGATTTGTAATGGGAACTGATGCATTCCTGCATCTATTAGAGAGGATATCAGAGATTTTATTAGCAAAATTCCTCTTGTGGTGGATCATACTAACTTTCTAACCCGGAATGACAACTCAAAGACATTGTATAAAGATTATTACATGGATTATTTTGAGTCTGATGACTCAGTTGATTAGTCCGATCTTATTTGGCATAAGAGACTCGCCCAGATTTTCTATATACACATATATGACACTTTTAGAAAGGCTAAACACTGCAGATGTCTTATCCCAGAAAGGCATTATCATTGCAAATCCTATGTGTTATTTCTGCCATAATAACTTTGAGACTATACCCCACATATTTTTTTAATGTGAATATTCCTACAAAATTCATATCCGGCTTATTCCTAACATGCAAAATTTTCTTTTAAGACCCAATGTCTCTCAAGCACTAGAGTTCATTGGTGGCTTACCGGGCGAAAATAAAGATAAACTGTGAAAACTCATACTGTTAAATGCTATCATTTATCATTTATGGTGTGAAAGGTATAACCGAAGGTTCAATTCTTCGGCAAAGTGTTTTACAGCACTGGTTTCTATTATTGCAAAAGTTGTGAGACTTAAGATCTCGAAATGGAAATAAGGGAACTTTCAGTTCTGGCTCTAAGTGTGTGCAGATGTTATTGGCTTAAGGATTTCTTTGAGCATAATTTGTTCTGCAACTTTGAAAGTTATCTAAGAAGGTGGTATGGTGTCATTTTCGGTTGGAAAATTGATTGGATGGTTTTTCTATCAAGCTTTGGAATGTGATTTTTGCCTGAACGATGATGATAGCCTGACTTAGAATCCTCTTGGATGATCTTTGGGCAACCAGAGCGCATGTATTTTTATATCTCTATACTTGACTACCTGAGTTCAAAGCACATCGCTAGCTATGCGCAATCATTTTATTTGATACAATGCTGTTTTCTTCTTTTTTTTGTACCCTTATCTTATGTAATTTTTTTTTTTCAGATTTTCAGTGTTTTTTTCCCTCTCATGTTTTAATCGGTTTCTGATTATGTTTAATAAAATGGCGTAGTCCAAAAATTCCCCCAAAAAAAAAAAAACAAATCAACTCAGCTAGTCCCGTAAGGTTTTAGTAACTCAACTTTTCGCAAATAGTTTTCTGTTTCCTTTGTTTTCATTAAATTCTTTTGTAAAATCTTCAACCGAAGCAAAAGTTAGGACAATAAATATTCCCTAAAATGTTTAAGCTAAAAAATGGTACTCAATAGATTAAACAAATACTTGAGATATATAGTATGATAGATCAAATTCTTTTGTTTTAAAACTAACATAGTGGAGTAAACAAGCTGAAAACTGCCGAATTGTGAAAAATAAAGCATTAGAGAATCATAGCAATTGGGAAATCTAAAATAGAAAGCAAGCAAGAAACAGAAAAGCTAGAAGCAGTTGAAATGATTTGCAAGCTAGCAAAAGCAGGAAGCAACTGGAACTGTAAAGACACCAAGCTGAAAAAGCTAGAATTGCATAAGCAAGAAGCTGGAAACAAAGTAGCTATAAGTGATTCCACAAGAAACAGGTTCGACCCATTTAGTATTGCTACCAGCTGCAGCTAGTTGCATTCAGGAGAAACAGTTTCGACGGTAGTTTTCTTAGCCCGGGCTCTACATCCCATGCTCAATTTGCATTGACAACAACAACAACATCAAGCTTTTATCCCACTACGTGGGGTCGGCTACATGAATATTTTTTCACCATTATCTAGTTAAAAGTCAAATTCTCATTTAAATCTAATAAAGAAAAATTATTCCTAATATTTTCTAACTAAATCTTTTTAAGCCTACCTCTACCTTTTTTGACATAAGTCAAATATAATACCTCAATTTTTCTAACCGGGTCATCGGAAGGCCACCGTTTAATGTGACCAAACCATCTAAGACGACTCGCTCTAATCTTAAACCATCTAAGACGACTCTCTCTATAATCTTATCTTCCACTGTAGCTACTCCAATTCATTAAGATGATTGAAACAAAAGATATAATCAAAACAGAACAGATCGGCATCGTATGAACATTCAACATCACTAAGCACTCAATGAGGTTTCTCCTTTAATGTAACCAACATAAAATAGTATTCACCTTCGTTCTTAATTGATCACTAGAATATTCTAGAGCTATGAAAATCCAACCTTACAAACAATTCCGGCATGCAACATGCCAGAACCCTAGAAAATTAGGTGTGCAGTCAACAAAGTTTCCCAATAACAACAAGTTGTAGAACTTCATGCATTAATAGAAGCATCCAATGGCCACCGAAGTAACATGCTAGTTTTATCACCAATTTAGGTTTTGTTTGGGACGGCTTTCTTACTACTTAAAATAACCCTCTAGTACAAAAGTTTTTATTTTTGTACTAAAAAATTGCTTCATGTAACAGTAAGAAAATCGTCCCAAATGAAACCTTAATCCAATTGTATCGAAAATAGAGAAGCAGATCACCTCTCTTAAGACAATACCGAGGAGATCGTGGTTACATGACTAGCCACAGGCCAAATCCGAGCAACAAAACGCAATTATATTGATTAATGGAGATTCAAGGTTTAAACACCATGTAGAAGAATAACATTACACAACTAAAGGACAACAAGATTTTGCAAAGCTACTTAAAAATTTGTGCCGCAGCTGAAACCGGTACGTCAGAATGTAGAGATCATTTTGATGCATAAGCTCATTTTCAAAAATTTACTGCAAATCAACGGCTAATGATGTAATTGCAAAATGAGCAAATCAAATGGATTCTTTGCACAACGACAGCATAACAAACAGTTCAAAACAAGCAAAACAAAATAGATTTCACCACTTCCGTACACAACCATGGATAAGTAATATCGATGAGTTCATCAAATTCTTCAGATCACAAGTATTTACATTCCATCATCATTAGAGAAAATTTTTTAAGCCCCAAGACCACAAACTTAAACTTGCTTTCGCAGCCTTCAGATAAGGTAGATATCAAGCGAACTCCTGGAGATTAACTCTTGCGCCTATGAAAAAGCACGCTTGTTAAAAAAAACACAGAAAGATGCACCACAAACTCTTAATACAGGGATGACAATAGAAGAACTTACTTTTGAAAAGCCATGATGCAGATTCTTTTGCCAACTGAGGCCTTCGGTTAGAGAAAGACAACTCATGCTTTCCCTCCAATAAAGATGGATTCTTTAATAAACCAGAAATGGCATTTTCAACTGGAATCTTTGCAATCAGAGGAAAGCCAAAGAGCATGAAACCATTACCACCGCATGGGAGGATCGGGTCATTCTTTTCGAATGTTTTTGTGAAGTTCAAATCACTTTCACAATGGTCTCTACTGATACAATTCCCTGGTTGATGAGACTGCGAGGAAGAATCAACAGAGCTAAGTGTACCAGACATGTCACAATCCTCAGCTTTCTCGTGTTCATTAATGCCATAATATGAATGAGAAAATGGCAGCTGTGATGTAGCTTGTTGAAACATCAGAACTGAAGAAGGAGATGCCTGAGCTGATGCAGCACATGGCAGCATAGTTGTACGATATCCGTGTAGCGGTGCATAACAAGTTCCAGCATAACTGGATTCAAGTACTTTTGACTTTGTTTCTCTAAGGCACTCAACACCAATTCCTGGATATGTTGGCCTTACAGGAACTATTTCTTGACCTTGCAAGACCTTAGGAAATCGAACCAATTCCTCAAAGTCCCTGCATTGATAAAAAAAATCAGAGTTTCCAACTGGAACTCTGTTATTACTTCCCGAACGAACTAGCAAGCTGCTTTCAGGATTTGCAAAGCATCTTCTCATTTCAGGGAAATGATGATTACTTGTCTCCAACGTATGAGAAAGAGTTGCATCCCCAACATCACGAGTTTTGTTATTAAAAATTTCTTGACCTTGCAAGACCTTCTTGAACCTTGCAGTTTCCTCCAAGTCTGAATACCCACCTCCACCTGTAGAAAGATATTAATTCACACGATAAGCCAGCAGAAAATGGGAGATCCAGCGAAAAAACACATTGGATCGGTATTTACTTGGATATGTATAACCAGCATTCATTGAAGATATACCAATTCTGATCCTTTTCGAACAAGGTAGGTAAAGATTGTTGGAACCTGACAGAGATCCAGTAGGTTCAATCTCCCAAGGAGAGACCCTGTTGGGTCGACCACCATCAACATCCGCTCCATCCCATCGAACCTATAAGAAAGAAAAAAAATGGTGAAAAAAAAAAAACTTAATATACAGGAAGATAAAACAAGACCCCGCATGGTAAATGACCTGGTTATGATAAAAAATCAACTAGTTAGATGATTTAAACAAGAAGAAAGAAAGGGCCAACGTATTGCAACGTTAATTTCAACTAGAAGATGATATACTCTCTCTCTCTCTCTCTCTCTCTCTATATATATATATATATATATATATATATCAAAGCAAATAAGACAATGTAAAATGTATATAATGAATAAAAATTATCAAGAGAAAATAATCCCAAAATCATTTGTGGGTACCATTTTAGTGTCTGATTGTCCAATTTAGTCATATGACTCCTGAAATATGATAAGAAACAATCTCATAGTTCAATTGAGATGAGAAATGAAGGTATTTCAATAAAATTAAGATTTTAAAAATATATATATTTTTTCAAAAAAAAATTCATTTCCCATCTTATTCAGTGACTTTTTTGTCAAATTAAATAGTGTTTCTAGCTATGAGACACTTAAATCATAATTGAGTAATTAATAAACTAAATATATTTTAAATACTCTTAATTAAAATAACCCACCACAAAAAAAATTTGAGATTTGATTAGCTTTGCACATTAGGGGTTTGTGTTATAATTAGATTTTCCACTTTAACACTAATCCAAAATAAGCAATCAAATTTACTGTTTTAAAATAATGTACGATGTCTTAAGGTTGTTGTTTTCAAACATAGATCTAATGCACAAAAACCATGCAACAGGCCACACAAGACTTATAGGTCTTAATCTCTTAAATTTCAACAACTATTCACTACTTTCAATGAAACAAAAAATATAAAAAAAATCAATTGAATAGCCTTCTACCAAAAAGAAACTCATAAAAATGCAGGATCAAAAAAGCCACACGATTTAAAATTTGCAAAATCATTGAAACAGATTGTATCAAATTTAACAAATAACCTCTCCCAAAATATATGTCTAGCACGTAGAATTGTTTGGTTGGAAGTAAAATAGGTTTAAAGTATTCTAAATGTAGGGGTTTTGAAAATATTGATTTATGGTTGGATGAAAAATAAAATATATGTAGTGTAAACCATTTTAATTCATTTTTTAGGTAAATTGCTTAGTTTTGTGGGACAACCATTTAAACTGCAAGCAAGCTAGCTTGATCGCTGCTATGACCCATCACTGGTCATGTCCACTCAAAACTGTCACCCACAGTTGGCCACCACAATCTGCCACTAACCAGCACCATCGCCGACCGCCGCCACCCATCACCCACCGCTGGCCGCTATTACCACCACCACCCCATTTTCGTCTGCCTCCACATCTTGTCGTCCACCACAGCCGCAATCGACCACCATCACCACCAACTGCCGGCCACTACCCTCCACTGCGACCACCACCCACCATCGGTCGCCACAACCTGTTGTTGGCCACTACCACTGACACCCGTCAACCACAACTAATGCCGCAGTCAGCTGCCACAATCTTTGGATTTTATACTATATTCATTTTACTTCAAACCAAACAAAAAAAAACATACACCTGCATTTACATTACACTAATCTAAACAATTCTAAAGTATTCCATTTACACTATTTCTTTTACACTGCATCATTTTTTTAGCCAACCAAATAGCCTCTTAATGAATTAACTACATAAATAGAAGAAATAGCACATCTAATAAGAATTTTATTTAGAACTAAATTAATCATATGGTGGATTCCAGTAATCAATAAATAGTAATATTATATTCTGTAATTGTATGTTTTCTATCAACACCAACATTTTTCCTGAAATACTGAGTAAATTTGATTAATCATGTTTTAGCAAACTCACCTCCTTATGAACCAAGCACCATATATATATATATATATATATATATATATAAAAGCATACAACCTCTATGAAAAATTCTTTAATATACCTCCTGTCGAATGTGTTAGTGTAATTCTTGACCTCATAAAATTCCTGTAGAAATTTTCTAGAATCATACATGAAATCAATCATTCTAGAAGGCATTCTGATGCAAACAGATGCTTTCATACCAAGTTTTCATCATGACATCTAATACTTCAAGGTTTTTTTTTTATGTAGATCTAACATTATATGAGAAAAAATCAAATAAAAAACATGCAAACTCATCGGTCACCAACTCTTGAACATTAATATTTTTATCTACTTTTGAAAATGGGTAACGTAACTGCCAAGAAAAATTAAAATTTTGAACAAAACATATATATTCGAACAACATCATCAAATATGTTTGGATGGTATCAACTTTGTTTCCACTCTAAAAACTTAGTTTCATTATATATATTAGACATTTTCTTTAACAGACATTTCTATTATGGTAAGAAAATTCAATCTCCCAAAAAGAAAAATTTGGGTAACCCTCAATCTTTGGTAATAAAATAATTATGCACGTAGCTTTACATGAAATATTATTGACCTCATTTTTGTATGAGATCAAATCCTGAATCAAAATTCCAGTCATAGTGTTCAAATTCTTTAATTCTATTTCAAACTTTAAATGCAACTTGTCACTATTATTTGGCATGATTTTCAATCATTAAGACTTCAATCACCCAATCATTTGACAACCACTTAATGATTGTCATTTGTTCAATCTTTAAAGCATTCAATCATTTGATAATTATCCAAAGATTGTCAAATGGTTCAATCACCTAAATTTCCAATAAAATTTCTAAACATTCAATCACTATTCAATTATTGCTTTCAATCACTCTAAATCCTTCAATCATCCATAAACTTCAATCACAAATCAATCACTAAATCATTCAATTCAAATCCAGTTCATAGTAAAAATCCAGTGTAAACTTCAAACCATAAGCCTTTGAATTTTCCCTAATTCAGGGAAATTTTCAATTCAATTCATTCAAAACCCTAAGTAAGATCTTTGGATTTGTATTTGATCATTCACATTTTGATTAGACATATTTTTAGAGCTTACCTAATCATTTTAGAGGCATCCAAGTCCTTCTAAAACCCTAAAATTCAAAGCATGTTCCATAGAGCCAAAACCTTTAAATATTTATAATTGATGACACTGAACATGTCATCCCGGTGAAAACCCCCTTAAAAACATTTGGAAACTCATCATACCTATTCATAATAATCATTACACTGATTTTAACTCCCTTGAGTCCATGGTTGACCTAATTTGACCTAGTTTGACCCATAAATTCCTTTAAACATAAACTCTCCATATATATGAATCATCTTTAAAAGACCAATCCAAGACCTAGGTCTAGCCCCTAGGCATTTGACAATTATCCTAGATCATGTATTAGACCGCATTGAACCCTTAAATAAGCTATGTTGACCATCATTGGTCACTTTGACCATTTAAGGTCTTTTTGAACCCTAAACCCTAATACTCCCACGGAACTCTAAACACAAACTCCCACGGAACTCTAAACCCTAAACCTATAGTGATGATTTCAAACTGATTTGATTGAAAAAACAAAGCTAACCCAATTGATTGAATTAGTTAATTCATTCAAATAGGTTGGTTTTGAAAAAAATTATAATTAAATAAAAAAATATTAAAAAATATAAACTAAATTGCATTCAACTCTAAATAAAATTTAGAATTTATTAAAAATGATTAACCTCTAAAATTATAAAAAAAATTAAAAATTCAAATTTTGGTCAACTCTTTTAATAAGGGGTAAAAGGATGAATAAATAAAAATCAAATAAATTTAAATAAATCCAAATTAAATAAATAAAAATTAGATTAAAAAAAATATTAAATAAAAAATAAATTGATTTAATAAATTGATCTAAAGAATCAATCAAACTTTAATTCAAATTACCTAAATAAATCAAATGAAATAAAATAAATAAATGAAATAAGCTTAAATAAATAACTTATAACCATGAAACTATACGTACTTGATTGATCCCTTAGGGGAAATCAAATGCATTACATTTAAAAGCCTATGACCTTTTTATTAAGAGCTTAAAGCTTTAAAATGATAAATCAAAAGGGTTATTTACAACATAAATAAATAAAATACTTAAATAAAAATGTACTCTATGTACTTGATTTGATTCCTTAGGATATGACTTGTTGATTAATGACTTCAAGCATTTTGGAGTTATTGAACACTATGTAAAGCTATAGTTTGCAAAGGTGGAGAGGTACTTTACAGTTAATGGGTTGACAGAGGAAGAGAAATTGACAGCTGTAGGACTGTGCTTAGAAGGGAAGGCACTGGCATGATACTAATGACGGGACATGAGGCGACCCATTTGGAGCTGGAGGGAGTTCAAAGATTGTTTACTAGAACATTTCCGAACCAGTAGGGGGAGACTTCTATGAGCAGGTTTTCGCCCTAACACAGGAGGGGACCATGACAAAGTACGGTGATAGGTTTGAGTACCATACTAGTAGGCTAGATCGACTCTCAGAGATGGTACTAGAAGGAAATTTTATGCAGGAACTTACACCAGAGATCCAAACAGTAGTTAGAGTGATGAGGACACATGACTTGGAGGAAGCCATGGAGCTAGCTATGTTGGTGGAGGACCATAAATATCCAGAGAGGGGGGCTAGGGGGAGCAACTCAGAGGGTCATATAGGATGATCACCATGTTCTTAGCTCCTAAGGGGCCTACACCAGGGAGTTTGAGAGAAGTCCCAAGGGAGAAAGATGGAGGGGAAATTTTCAAGAAGCTTATTGAGAAGGAGATACAGGAGAAGAGGGCTAAGGGGTTGTGCTTCAGATTTGATGAGAAGTACCTGCCAGGGCATAGGAGTAAGGACCAAACTCCTTACGTTCTCACCGTCTGTGATGATGAGGAAACTGAAGAGGGAGTTGAGAGCGAGGTATTGGTGGAGGAGGAACAAAAGTTACATCTGGATGTTGTAGAAGTCTCTCTAAGCTCTGTGATGAGATTCACCCCGAATCACACCATGAAGGTGATAGGAGAAATAGCAGATATAGAGGTAGTGGTGTTGA